TTGATCAGATTATTTGAAGTTGGAAGGCCCACTGTAAATGTGGGCCTTTCTTTCTGATAGCAGCCCATTATCAAAGGTCATGGCAGAAGGGAGCTTTGGCTATTTGCCTGCTTGCCTTCTCTCTCACTGGTGGGTTCATCTTGTTGCTGTGGCATTCCTCCACTGAGAGTAGAACCAACTTCTTCAGATTCCAATGTAGTCTGAAGACTAGCAGATCTCCAGGAATCCTTCAGGACTTCAGCGCCAGATTGGGACTGCTGAGACATCCAGCCTCCTGGACTGAGCAACTACTGGATTCTCAGCCTCTCCAGTGTGGTGCAGCCATCGTTGGACTACTTGGACTCTATCCTGTGAGCTAATCTGATAAATCCATATACATATATATATTCATTTTGTCAGTTCTGTTCCTTTAGAGAACCCTAATACTGACTGTGGTACCAGGAGTGTAGAGATTGTCCCCCACAGGCTCCAAGTATTTAAATATTCTGTCCCAGTTGATGGCGCTGTTTTGGGAGGTTTTAGGAGGTGCACCCTTGCTGGAGGAAGCACATCACTGGCTTTGAGAGTCCTTAAGCCTTACCAGATTTCCAGTTGCTGTCTGTTTCCTGTGCCTGCTTGAAGATGTGATCACTCAGGTTTCTGCTCCAGCCACCTCTGCCACCATGCCTCCCCTGCCATTATGGACTCTAACTCTCTTACCTGTAAGCCAGATAGACCCTTTCATCTATAAGTTGATTTGGTCATGGTGTTTTATCACAGCAACAGAAAAGTAACTAATATAGTCATGTACCATCAGCCATCACACCTTGAGTAGCCACTGTTCTGGCAATTCAAGACAGGCCAGAAGTCCAGCCAGGGCATATGGTGGGCACTCCAACTCTCAAGGAGGAGAAGCGGGTACCAAAATCTGAAGAGGATAAGGAAAGGGCCAGGGTGTAGTCAGGCATACAGGGAAGACCAAGTTGAACCAAATAGCCACTGTGGAGTAGAAGAAGGCAAAAGCTAGATGGGGAACATAGTGACACTGAGGGACTCAACTGTCCTCCCTTGCCTGTGAAACTCCTTACCATCCGGTGACCCAGTCCAGGCTCAGTGGGAGAGAGTCTGGGATCCCAGATGCCTGTCTTGGGCTCAGGGGATGGAGTAAAGAGAGAGAGGAAGGCAGCCACATGCTCCTCCAGTAGGCTAACAACTCAAGAAGGACTGTGACCATTGGTCCTGGGCAGTGGATACCAGATTTGGTGTCTCTCATCTGTCTAGAGAAGCCGAGTCACATAGAAACAGAGTTCTGAAATTATAAAAGAGTTAGAAACACATTCCTAGGGACCACTGACTGTTTAGGATGATATTGGGCAAATCACATAAGGTCTTTGTACCCTCTTGATTTCCCCATTTGTGAAATTGGTATAGCTGATGATAAAGGTCTATACTCCCAAGGTTGCTGCAAGTGTTAATACTTAAGAAGGCTTAGAAGCTTATGCAGGTCACAGTAGATGTCAGGTGATGGGCAGCCATTATCATCATTGCTTCTTTACTTACTGCTTCAGCCAGACGGCCCAGCCAGTCTCACTATCAAGAAGTGTAAGTCATAGTTCCACAAGGAAGCTCAGGTCTCTCCTTCATCCATCCCTCTCCCACATAATCCCTCCAGCCCCATCTCATCCCATCTCATGGGAGTGGCCTCAGTGGCTGAGCTCCCTGAATACTGTGACCATGAAGAGTGCACCCGATCCTCTGGGGAGTGCATGTGTGTGTTGCGAGTGTTTGTTTTGATTGTCACAATGACTGTGGAAAAATGAAGATCACAAATTCCAATCCTAGATCTGCCATTTAACTTATAAGTGTCTCTGGCCTTAATTTCTTCATCTATAAAATGGAGATAATGATGGTACTTTCCTCCTAAAGTGGCTGTGGTATTCAGGGGATTCATCTGTACAAAAGCCCCAGTGTGTGGAACTCGTAACGGCTCAGTTATCATTTTTCTATTTTCTAATGGATAGTCTCACAGAATACATAATTGTCCTCTGTGATCATCAAATATTCCACTCAACATAGGAATCAATGGAAAAATGCCCTTATACTGGACTGAACCTGAAACATAACTATTTTTTCATACATAAACACAAAATTTTAAAAGTTTTCACATAATAGAGTCTCACAGGAATGCAACTTATTAACTTCTTTGGGGTTCCTCTGTCACACCAGCCTCAGTCTCCTCTTCTATCTGACTCCACATACATTAAAGTTCCACCCCTATCCAACCAATCCTCTGGCCCTGTGGGACTCTCATTGCCTTAGAAATGTCACACTCAAGGAGCTGTTCTCACTTTCTGAGCAGTCAGTCCATTTAGATATCAATTGATATGGCCCAAAACTACAAGAGAGGAGCCTCCCTGTAGAATGAGCTTTGGACAACAGGGATCCAGAAGCCTACTGCCTTCATCTACAGAAAGACTGTTGTGAAGTTTCATTTCACCCTAGGATAGCCAGAGCCTTCCTGTGGGGCCCATTCTTACCTGTGGTGGGGCTTCCCTCACTCCTGCTGCCCTGAGACTGCCCTCCTACAGAAATCACCATCCTTTATCCCTGCCTCTTATTATAGCCTGGGCTCATACTTGGGCTCTAATTTCCCTACAGATGGAAGTGTATACTTCATCCTTACCAAAAGTCACTTATTAATGGAAATAAAAATCACACAAAATGGGGCTGGAGTAATGGCTCAGCAGTTAAGGACACTTGCTGTTCTTCCAGAGGACCTGAGTTCGATTCCCAGCACCCACATGGCAGTTAACAACTGTCTGTAACTCCAATTCCAGGGGCTCTGACACCCTCTTCTGGCCTCTGCAAGCATTGTACAACATGGGTACACTTACATATATGCAGGCAAAATACTTATACACATAAAATAAAAATAATAAAATATTTTTTAAAATCACATAATGCACAACACTAACTCTTAGCTATTTAAGTCACCAAGACAATAAGTTTTTGTCTACCTGTATTTATACTGTGACATTCATTTGAACATAGCTGGACTGGAGACATGGCTTAGTGGTCAACAGAGAGTATTACTCTTGCAGAGGTCCTGAGGTTTCTCTGTTTCTGGCCTCCTTGGCACTTGCGTTCAGGTGCACATATACACACACATACATAATTAAAAATAAAATAAATATTTGAACATAATTATGCCTTTTTCTACTTATTAAACTACTTCATTGTAATGACTTCCCTGTTATTTTCTCTTGTGCTACATTATATTGATTTTTATTATATATATGTATAATATAAATATATGCAGGTTATATTAGTTTCAGATGTAATAGCAAGATAGCAAAAACACCATTATACAATATTTCTCATGTGAAGGGGAGGCTGGGGTTGACAATGCTGAAGAACCCAGTGGCATGAAGCCCAAGGCTGGCCTTGGGCCACTGGTCATCAGAATCATGGTGGGGCATTGGTTTTCTCCTCCATGAAATGAAGAGGTCAAATGACTCTGGAGATCTTTACACCTCTGTCAACTTGAGGTTTAATTTACAGGGATGTCATCTGCTTTAGATTTTCTGAGCTTCTACCCAGGTGCCTCCTCTGTTGTGAGAACCCACCTGAGATGGCAGACAATGAGATGGGATGGATTTTATTTAACCAAAATGTCACAGCTGGGGAAAGCTCAGTAGTAGCTTGGCTAACATGGTTAAGGCTCTGGATTCCACCCTCAGAAACACACACACACACACACACACACACACACACACACACACAATATCCACTCTATGTTTCCCATCTCCTTCTGCTCCCTCTCCACACTCCTCATGCCTAAGTCCACTGAACAACTCAGAAAACATATCTGTCATCTCCATTAATGACATCTCCATTCTCTTGGGACACAAGAGTGGCATGGTCAGGTCTCAGGACTGTCTTCCTGTCCTCCTTCTCTCCCTAGCCAGGCTATCCAGGTCTGTCAAGTCCCTCTAATCTCCTCTTCTTCCCTCTCACACCTCTGACAGATAACTCTTCCAGTCTTGGGTCTTAGCTCCTCTCTGCTTACAACCCTCAGTGGCTCCTCACTGCCTAGCAGTGTTCCCTCCCACACTGAGCCTGCCAATACCTTCTCCTGACCCTTACCTTCTCTTTATCTAATTCCACTCAACAAAATAGAATGGACTGGGGGAGCAAAAGTGACAGGTTGCAGGAATATGACTAATTTCCCTTTCAGTTTTCTGTGACTGAAAGTTTGAGCAGAGTTGACACGTACACTTGGCTTCCAGAAGGCAGAATTCTTTAGAGGCTAAGAAAATATTGCCTTCCATGTAAGAAAGAGACTCAGCCAGGAGAAGGCTAGGAGGTTTGTTAAAGATGCCACTGAGACATAGTTTAGTTGGTAGAGTGCTTGCCTAGCACGTGTCAGCCCTGGGTTTGATCCCCAGCACTGTGTAAACCTGGCATGATGGCACATACCTGTAATCCCAGTACTTAGAGGTGGAACAAAGAGGATGAGGGCTTTAAGGCTATTCTTGGCTACATAGTGAGTTAAAAGACAGCCTGAGATACAAGACACTTTGACTCAAAAGCAAAGGAACCCAAAACAGCCACTCTACCACAGACACCCTATGAGAAAGTTAAGAGAAAACACCAACATACTCCAGTGGCACCAACACTCATAGGGAGAGAAGCTGTGTACAACTGTTCTCCCTGTGAGGCATCCCCTAGTCTGGATATTAGCAATGGGGAAAAATGCCAAGGAAAAGATTTTGAAATACAAAGATAAAACACTCTGGATACCAAAGGTCCCTTTGAGCAGCATAGAAGAAAGACTGTCTAACATTGGTAGTTACTGATGATTGATGTCCTCCTCTGTCAAGTGTGACACTTACTGTTCAGTTCCTAAATATTACAGCCTCTCCCAACCACCCTGTGGAAGAGGAACCATGACTGTAAACCCTATTTTGTAAGTAAAGCAAGGAAGCCTTGGAAAGAGGAGACATCTTTTTCAAGGTTACCAGTATCATCTTGCTGATCTCCCCCAATTCTCACCATCTTCTTGTCTTGGGGTTAAGGACACAAGGGAAGCCAACCCCTTTTTCTCCCATGATAACCTGATAAGGGAAAAACAAACATGATCAGATAGAACAGCAGGAGGTCTCCAGGGAGCTGAGAAAGTTGGAGGCTTCTCCCCTGGATCAATGAGGGAACTGTCTAGTTAGACCATGAACCCCATCATAGCATCTGATTGATAAACAACTCATTCCAACTCCACACAAACTGGAGCGAGATTTTGAGTGTTGGGCCACAGGACTCTAGCCTCGGGCCCTGACAGTCCTGCATTTTTATCAGTGATTTGAATGGACACAAGAGACAGTAGATATAACTAAAAACTAACAACCTGATTTAAGGAGGATGAAAGACTTCAATAGGCATTTTTTCAAAGGCGATATATGCAGAGGTTTTGAAAGGATGTTCAACATTACTAATCATTTGAGAAATGCAAATCATGACATGATGAGACATCACAACATGTTAATTAGGACAGTTACTATAACAAGGATTAAAGCACTTTCCAATCACTATATAAATCAGTATGGAGATGCTTCAAAAAACTAAAAATAGAACTACCATATGACCCCAGCTGTACCACTCTTGGGTATATACCCAAAGGGATTTGAAGCTAAGAAAATATTGTCTCCCCATTAAGACAGAGACTCAGCTGGACTGGGAGGCCTCTGAGAGGACCACAGAACCACCTGCACATTCAGATTTACTGCAGCACTATTCACAATAGCCAAGTTAAAGAATCAGGCTAAATGTCCATCAACAGAAGAATGGATAAAGAGGAATGAAATTATGTCATATGAAGGAAAATGTATGTAACTAGAGACCACGTTAAGCAAAATAAGCCAGACTCAGAAAGACAAATGTCACATGTTTTTCTCTCATGTATGGGCTCTAGACTTAAAATCTAAGAAGGAGGAAGAGGTCTTAAGAGAGGGGAGAAGGGGAATCAGAGAGGGTAATGGAGAGTGGGGAAAAGACAAAATACCAAATATTCCATATCTTATCTCATGTGCAGAGTCTAGATTGAGATAGACAGGCACTGAGAGACAGAGAGAGAAAGAGGAAGACAGATTATTTGGGGTGAGGAAAGAGACCAGGGGGAGATGGAGGAGGGGAGGGAGGATAAGAGCAAGGTACAATGATACATACGTATGAAGGTCTCATAATGAAATGATTGTATTGCATACCAACTAAAAAAATTAAAAATTTAAAACAGAGAATAACAAGTGTTGGTGAAGATGTGAAGAAACTGGAACCCTTATTATTAGTGGTAACTATTAGTGTGAATGTACAAAGCATAGCCATCATGGAAACCATATCAAGACTTCTCAAAAAATTAAAAATGGAAATATCATGTGAACAAGCAGTTCAATTTTAGTTATGTGCCCTGAAAAATTGAAAGCGGAGTCTCACAGAGATACTTGCACAACCATTGTGAATGTTCATAGTAGCACAATAGCCAAAATGTGGGAGCAACCAGAGTGTCCGGTAACAAATTAATGGACAGGCAAAATGTGGCTCACACACCTGATGGAATACTAACCAGCTAAGACAGAAGGGAATCGTGACCCATGCTGCAGTGTATTATGCTAAGTGAAGTGAGCTAATCACAAAAGGACAAAAGGACAAAGGATACTGCTCAACAAGCAAAAGCTTGAGGACCTGAGGCCCATCCCCCAGAACCCACATAAAAAAGCCAGAGGTAGTGGTTCCTCAATGTACAGGCACACACACACACACACACACACACACACACACACACACACACACACAAATAGTATTTTTTTAATAAAAAAAAGACAAATACTGTGTGATTTCACTTATAGGAAGTCCTTAGAGTAGCCAAGATTCATAGAGACAGAAAATTGGATGCTTGCTATGAAGGGTTAGAAAGAAGAGCTATGGGGAGTTAGTGCTGAATGGTTAAAGAACATAAAAAGAGGTCTGGAGTCAGTTGCCCCACAATGTAAAGGTAGGAACATTACTGAATGTATACTTAAAATTGGTTAAGATGAGGGCTGGAGAGATAGCTCAGCAGTTAAGAGCACTGGCTGCTCTTGCAGAGGACCCAGGTTCAGTTTCCAGCACCCACGTGATAGATAACAACTGTCTATAACCCTACCTCCAGGGGATCCGATGCCCTCTTCTGGCCTCTATAGGGCATTGCATGACATGGGTGCACTTACATAACAGGTGTACTTACATACATGCTTACATACATACTTACATACTTACATGCTTATATACATACATACAAGCAAAACACACATATATAAAATTTAAAAATTTAATTTTTTAAATGGTTAAGATGGTATACACTTTTTGTCTAATTTCTCATAATTTAAATAAATGAATAGTTAGCATATAGATGAAAAATTCCTTGACAGATAAAATCAGGATTGAAAAAGATCTGGGCCAATGGAATTACAGACCTGGTTTCCAGGTATCACTTGTAAAGAATACACTTCTACCTAAATGATGTCACACATGCCTGCTAGGGGGCAGGGGCCATCATGTCCTGAGTCTTTGTATCCTGAGTCAGTCACTAGATCCCCTCACCTTTGCAAACAGCAGCTTGATATTAAAAGAAAGCAAGCTGGAGGTCAAGTCTCATCACAATTCTGTCCATTCAGACCCTGCAAGGATCAGAAATAAAAAGAATATTATGGAAGGAACAAGAAGAAAAAAAGCTTAGCATATGATGCTACTGTTGGGAAAAGCCACATCGGATGCCCAGGCTACAGGTAAACATAAGCAGAAGTCACGGTGTGGCTCGGAAGCAGGACATATTTTCTCCTGGGCACCTCTCCCATCTTCATCTTCCCTCTCTCCCTGGGTCAGTGAACAAACACATCCTTAACCCCCTTCTATTCTGCTATAGAGTTTAAGCAACAGCAGTCAGAAAGGGACAGTAACAGCTGGCCATTCAAGAACATTTTTATTTACCCAGTAGATTCTACAGAGCTCCAGAAACGAGTTGGAAGGTTGTTACTGAGTAAAGAAAACGACAAAGCAGAAAGTCAGGTGAGAAAGGAGTTGCCTGTCAACAGCCCAGCTTCATGTAGGAAAAAAGTGGTGGCTAATGAGGAATGCCCTTTCTCGGCCTAGAAAAAAGTCTGAAACCTGAACTTCAGGTCTGTACAGGCCTAAGGGGCTCAAATCCTTCAGCATGGTGTTCCCAGGCTGCCCCTAGCCCTTGCTTCTGCACAGACTTTCCTTCCACAAGGAGCCAGAGAGCAGCCTGGAGTTACTGTGATGAGTCCAGGGTCGGGGAGGCCATCACTGGCTGTTCTGGAGCCCTAAGTAAGTCTTGGGACAAAATAGCAGCTGCAAATGAAGTTATCTATTAAAAAAGCCGGGCATGGTGATACATGCCTTTAATACCAGCTCTCGGGAAACAGAGGCAAGTGGATCTCTGTGAGATTGAGGTCAGCTTGGGCTACATAGTGAGTTCCAGGCCAGTTGGGGCTACAGGGAGACCCTGTCTCAAAAAGACAACGTAACAAAAAAAAACCCTAAGGGATTTGGGATGAGCACAGTTGGTAGAGTGTTTGTCTAACATGCTCAAGACTGTGGGTTTGATCTTGAGTATTGCATAAGTCAGATTTGGTGGTACAGGCTTGTAATTCCAGAACTTGGAAAATGGAGGCAAGATGATCAGAGGTTCGAGGTCATCCCTTGAATACATAGTGAGTTCAAGGCCAGCCTTAGCTACAAGAGACCCTATCTCAAAAAATGAATAAAGGCCAGGCATGGTGGTGCAGGCTTTCAATCCCAGCACTCAGGAGGCAGAGTCAGGCAGATCTCTGTGAGACTGAGGCCAGCCTGGTCTACATAGTGAGTTCCAGGCCTTCTAGGGCTATAGGGAGACCCTGTCTCAAAAACTCATAAATAAATAAATAAATAAATAAATAAATAAATAAATTTAAAAAGAAGACTAATAGGCTTAATTCGGGCTTTTGAATAGGGTAAATAAATCCTTAAACTGGCATGTGAAGGCTGTGTTCTTGTGGAACTTGGGTGATCCCTAAGATGGCCCTTTGGAGCCCCTGCTGAGTCTCCTAGGCCCTTGGGAGACAAAGATGACTCTCAGTAGGGTTGAAGAGTGAGGATTCTGCAAGCAGTTGGGGCTTTGGGGAAGCTTAGCGATTGTTAGCAAGTCTCCAGATCTGCACTTTATCTAAAACCAGAATTTGCAGCCCTGCTAGGCCACGGTTTGGTCTTGTACCGTCTGATTTGCAAAGAAGAGCAGACAGTGACATAAGTCTGGGGGACACTAAATTGTATCTGAGGACCTCAGACTCAGGGCACTAGCTTTGTGGCTTCCAAAGTAGAGCTGAGAATCCTAAATGTGTGATCTGTTTCCTCAGAATTAAGACATTAAACCCAGCCAAGACTAAAGCAAGTCCTGGACTTCGGGAGAGTGGCACAAGCACTGTGGCTGCCTGGACACTGGCCAGGGAGTGCCTGGCATCCAGAACCCTGTGTACTACAGGGGTACTTGAAGCTGGGTCTCCACACAGTGGATCCTTGAAAGAAGTGGGAGTGGCTGAGTCTGCTGGAGGTCTGCTTGTCCCTGTGATGCCTTCCCCAGGCCTTTGCAGATGCCCCTGGAGTAGGTGGCAGAGCAGCCTCACAGGATTAACAGGGGGAACAACCAATTCAGATACAGATTCCTGAGCCTCCTTGGTCCTCTGAATGGGACCCTCTGACACCATGCTGCCCACAAGCTTTTGGTGGATGTGTGCACATTCCGGTTTGAGACCATTCTCCCATGACAGCCCTGCTGCAGGGTTAAAGGCCATGGAGCAATCAATTTTATTGACTTCTAGAGCTGAAGGAGTCCAGAGGCCCCTAGGCCAGCTTGCAAGGCCCAGTGCAGCATATTGAATGTTCTGAAGGAGCAGAGGCCTCCAGGCCAGCTCACATGTCCAGTGAAGCTCACTGAACGCTCCCTCCCTTCTTCTTGCCCTTTTCCCTCCATCATCTGACTCCCAGTAAAGAGACCAGACAAAAACCCTGTTCTCAAGGGACCTTAAATGGTGACAATGCCTTAGATTCAAATAACACTTGACTTTCAAACACTGCCATATCAAGGCTACTCTGTAATATGCTTTTATACCCATTTTACAGATGAAAGGACTTGTGTAGAGAGAGCAGACCATTGAAGGCAGTACCTTCTGCCCTCTGGGCCCTCCCTGAGTGACTTGCTGGGCCTTGTCTTCAGAGAAGTGACTCTCAAACTTTGTACTTTTGTTCCCAGGGGATACTAGCAAAGCCTGGAGACATTTTTGGTTGTCACAATGGGGGTGCTACTGGCATCTAGTGGGTAGAAGCTAGGGATGCAACTGAGCATCCCATAAAATGCACAGCAGAAAATTATCCATTCAGCATGTCGACAGTGTCCTTACTGTGAACAGAGGCAGGGCAGGGACAGATACTCAGGGGCTTCCAGGGACAGGTATGTAGTATGTTAGCCTGGACATTGTTCAGCACATTGAAATAAATGAAGGAAGGAAGGGAGGGAGGGAGAGGTGGGTATCTGTACTCTCAACACTCAAAGACAAATAATCTTTTTTTTAAAAGCCAGGATGGGGCTGGAGAGATGGCTCAGCGGTTAAGAACACTGACTGATCTCGCAGAAGACCCAGGTTTGAATCCCAGCACCCACATGGCAGTTAACAACTAACTGTCTGTAACTCCAGTTCCAGGGTAATCCGACAGCCTCTTCTGTCCTTCTCGGGCATTGCATGGCATGGGTGCACTTACCTACATGCAGGCATATCACTCATACACATAAAATAAAAATAATAAAGAAACTATTTTTTAAAAAGCCAGGATGGTGGCACATGCCTTTAATACCAGCATGTTGGAGGCACAGGCAGACAGATCTCTATGAGATCCAGGCCAGCTTGGTCTACACAGCAAGTTTCAGGACAGCTGGTGCTATAGGGAGATCCTGTCTTAAAACATAAAAAAAAAAAGGAAAGAAAAAAAATAACAAAATAACCTTGAAAATCATTTTGGTTTTATTTGTTTGTATGTGTGTTTGATTTTTACAGGAGCTGACCTCATTGATCGAAAGCGTCAACTGACATGAATGCTTTTCTTCAAGCCAGGGCTGATTTTTAGGTACCTTGTGTGGTAGCCACAGTAACCAACCTGCAGCCCCCATGCCAGCCCCTACCCTGGGGACATGACACAGGCAGCCTCCCAACCATCCAGCCCAATTTTCCTGTTAAAGGGCTTTCTAGTTTCTGTTAAACTTGCCTAACCACACCCCTTCCCTGGAGACTGGGGCTAAGGGTCCCCATCCCCCCTTAGAGGAGTGGACTGGTGCAGGAAGGAGGCATCAAAAATGTCTTCCAATTAACAAATGATGTCGTTGGACTCTTCCAGGGGCTGTGTGGTAGCCTCTGCTTGCTGGTATTACTTCAAAGGGTTTATTCCTGGGCAGACATGTTGATCCCCGATGTGGGTTATGAAGTGGGCGTAGCACGTAAGACCTACAGGCAAGGTAGAAGTGAAATTTGTAATGTGGAACAGCTGATTCCCTAGGAAGGTGATAGAGTCAGGGGTATAAAAGAGGGGAGGGATAGAGAGACTATCAGCATAAACTTTACACACAGTCTCTCCTGGTGTCTGCTCACCAGATCTCTCCTTTCTATTCCTTGTCATCCTACCTGGGCTCTGAGTGAGAATCAAGATGCCATTTCTAGGATGTATTTATCTGCTCCCCAGAGTGAGACTTCTCAAAGTCCCCCAAGAGGAGAGGAGGATGGGGAGGAGGAGCAGACATGAAATGGTGTGGAGGGCAGGTCAGGGCTCCCAGGCATACGCCTGGCACAGTGGGACTGTCCCAGCCACCAGCAAGGTCAGGGAAGCTGATGATTCTGATTTGGAAATGCAAAATGTGACAGCTGGCAGTCGCTTCCCTGTTCAAACTTCTTCCTTTTGTGATACATTTGGCTCTGATTCAGTCAAAGAGACTGGACCACTGTAAGTGATGGAGAATAAAGAACCCATGGTCTGGATTTTACCTCACATGGATGGGGAGATGGTCAGTCTTGTTTCTTCTCCACAGAGGGTGGTGGGGAGGTCCAGCGGGGATCCACCGCTCCTGCAAGGCAGCTGCGGCTTCTAGGCGGGGCAGGAGCCATAGTAGCACCTGCAGGGTGAGCAAGGCTCAGCTTGTCTGCTTCCCTGCTTCTTCACCTAGCACAAATCCTACCCAGCCACACTGGAAAGGGAATTGTGGGAGCTGTTGCTCAACTTAGTCAAGTAAGTTGTTGCAAAATCAACCAGACACATTAAAAAAAAAAAAAAAAAAAAAAAAACCAAACATGAAGGTGTTTGCTTCTGTATTTCAGGCTCGTGGTGGTGGTGGTGGTGGTGGTGGTGGTGGTGGGTGTTCGTGTTCAAGATGTGTGTGTTCCATATATGCCGTCTCCACACAGACTTCATGCTGAAGTGGGAAGAGGAGAGGAAGGAGTCAAAGACAGCAAGAATGCAAAGCTGAAAATTCAGCCCAGAGAGGCTACTGCCCTCACACACACACACACACACACACACACACACACACACACACACACCCCACACACCAGCTGCAATTCCAATCAATTCAATCAATGGGCAATGTTTGCTGGCCATAAAAATAGCCCAGAGGTTGCTGGTCAGCGGCTCTAAGATGGATGACCAGTGGCCCTGGAGGTCCCAAAGGTCACAGATGACTATCACCTTAAAATGTAATCTGCACTGGCCCCCCAGCCCAAGGCCTGGTGGGTGGGACAGGCATTGCTGACCATCTGCAACCATCCCCCAAGTCAGGCAGCTCTCAGCTCAAAGCCTTTGCATCTTAGGAGCTACACAATCTATCTGTCCCTCTTCCTCATCCCTGGCTTCGTGCCACTGCCCACCAAGCACACGTTTCTTACCCACAGCTGCCACTATGACATCCCACAGGGGCTGCAAACAAGAGCTGGCTGCTATTTCTCTCGAAACCCTTTGCCCCTATTCATTGACAGACTATCCCTTCCTCTAGCTTGGAGGGGCCGCTCCAGGTTCCTAGGTACCATGGGCCTTCTTTGGTAACAATGAGAAGCCATGATGGTAGCCAATCCTTTGTTCTCCCAGCTAGTGAGGAGTACTTTGACTCTTCTCCCCACCCCCCAGTAGCTATGGGCCCTCTTCATTCGTTTGCCCTTCCTTCCATCCTCATTTTATAATTCTCTCTTATTTCCTCACCCAAACAAATGGTCTTGTACTTGCTTTCCTGCTCTGGGTAACTCAAGAAGGCCCTCAGCAGATCCTCTTCAGTAGCTTTTCACTGTCCTGCTCCTTGTCTGACAAATGCCAGGCTTATCGTCTCCATCATGGATGTTTGGTTCCATGAATGTTCACTTCTAGCAGGCTGCATCTAAACAGCACTAATGGATGAGACACCTGAGGAGCCCTTTGAGCTGTACAGAGTTACCTGAGCTACCCAGAGCCTCACAGAACTGCACAGAGCTGCACAGAACTGCACAGACTTACACTGAGTTGTATTGTTTACTGGAGCTGCTTCCGTGGCTGTCTGCTGGTCCTGGTACAGTGGTTGCTGAGTCCCCAAGCAGGGTTTGATTTCTGAAAATCAACTTCCTCTCACAAATCATCACAGTTCAGCTATTTAATGGTCGACATGTCACACGAAGATGCAGTATTTCCCAAAAGTCAGGAAGCAAATAAATTATTACAGTTTAAAAATGAATCTATTTATTGATCTTCTTCTTTTACACTATTAATGCTAATTGTTTTTCATGGTTCATGCATTTAGGATTCATCAAAACGAATTCTAAACGAATTTCCAAACACAAAAATCATAGCAGGATAACAGATAGAGCCATATCATCCCACCATTTTTCAAAGGTCTGTCTGTCTGTAAGATTTAAGAAACTGCTTTGACCCTCAATAGAAGAGTGGGTGGGCATTACAACTACGTACATTGTTGAGCACCAACTGTATGCCAGGTCCTGGGGTTGTTCACAGATGCTGTTTCATTGACTCCTCATGAGATTGCCCAAAGATCATGTTGTCATTTTCACTTTAAAAAGAACCTGGTACCCAAAGAGAATCACACATCTATCAGGTGGAAGAGCCTAGTTACAGGTCAGTTCTGTTTGACTCGAAAGTACACACTCCCTGAACTTGGCCACTTCCACGATGGGCTGTTGTCACGTAAGGTTCATGCCAGAGCACTTGATCACCATTTCTGTTTGTATGATCCTTTCAGAGTTGACCTTGACCCTCCCTGTCAGATGGGTCCAACTTACAACATAAATCTCACATCTTAGGTTGATCTGCTCTTCTGTGTTTGTTTCCATCAAATTGAACAAAAGACTTCACTGTGCCCTCTTGCCAGTTTTGGTGGGACTGCTTCTTATCCTTCTTAATGACATTTTAGCTAGGCAAGTGGTTCTAGCTAAGGACTACATGTCCTGGCATCCCTTGCAGCTGGTTAGAGCCTTGTAACTAACAATATATGAGCTGACTTGATGCAAACCAAATAGGGGTTTTGTTGTCTTAGCTCCATGCAAATTTCCTGCTGTTTGGAATTCAGATATGGTGGTAGAAATGGAAGTAGCCATATGAAACCATGAGAAAGTTTTGTGATGAGTGCAGGGCCATATGATTTATGGAAAACCACTGTAACAACAGCAACAAAAAATAGCTGGTATGGTGGTGCAAAACCGTAATTCTAACACCTGAGAGGTGGAGACAGGAGGATCAGAAGTTCAAGGTCATCTTTGGTTACATAGTGAATTTGAGGCCCTGTTTCAGCCCCAATCTATCCTCCCCTGAAAAGGGAAAGAGAACAAAAGATTGAAAGAATAAGGTCAGTGAGACTGCTCAGTAAAGGCGTTTATTGCCAAACTTGACAACCTGAGTCCAATCCCCAGGTCCCACCTGGTGGAAGGAGAGACTCAACTTCTGAAAGTTGTTCTCTGACTTCCATACCAGCACTGTGGCACGTCTGGGATTACTGATATGTGCTACTATGGCAAGCTTTATGTGGCTTCTGGGAATCTGAACTCAGGTCCTCATGCTTACATGGTAAGTGTCTTATCCACTGAATTTTTCCATAGCCCCTACTGCTGTGTTCTTATAGAAGTGCATCCTCTAGCTAAGTGGATAAACATAGGAAATATCAGGTAAACCCTATTTGGAACTCAGATATGATGGTGAGCACCAACTACACAATCTACCAAATAACTGGGCCCTGTACAAAGTAACCAATCAGTAGTCTTCCAAAGTGTCAAGTTCACAAATGACAAAGGAAGACTGAGGTCCTACCAGGGATTGGAGGAGTCTAAATCGGTATCAGAACCATGACCACTGGATCCTGTGCTGGGTCCTGGAGCAGAAAAAGAATATTGGATATTTTGGTAAAATTCCAAGGCTAGGGCTTGGCTTAAGAGCATTGCTCAATGTTAATTTACTGGACTTGATTATTGAACTATGATTATGTCAGATGTTTATATTTGAGGATGCTGAGTAAGGGCATATGGGAATTCTTTCTGCATCTTGCTTGTAAGTCTGAAATTACTTCCAAGCAAATAGTTTTAAAAAAAATCTTACAGTTTGTGGAATGGTTCCATATTACTTCTTTGACCTTACTCTGATGATAGCCTCTTAGCTTGGTGGTATTATCTACATTTACTGATGAAGATATAAGGAGTGAGGGAGGTAAAACCACATGCCCAGGTCACTACTCAGAAGCAGTCTGTATACTTGAGACTTGAATTTGAATCTTTTATTTCTGTGCACTATTTGTTTTCCCATAAGATGAGCTAGCTTAAATTTGACATACAACACCTTGAGTCCTAATGAACAGCAACACTGTTGAGAGATGTAAGCTTAACTGGATGTGGGCAGCAATCCTGCTCTGGGGCTCACTGATACCTACCACTTATGTTCCCCCCAATCCAGGATGACTCACAGGAAAATACAGAATTATTAACCACCAGAAAGAAATTTATGTCCAGCCAACCCCCATGTTGACTAGGAACATACCTTTCTGAGGATTGAAAACAAGCATCCTTCTACCATAGCGTTTTATAGTATACAGGGTACAATCTGCCATGGATCCATTTGTTTCTAGCTGCAAATGAATTGACTTAATTCCTGATCTATGAGAAGTCATGGAAAAGGAGCCCAGAACTGGGAGTGAAGACTCTTGGGTTCCGAGCCCAGATTTTCAGGGATTTTAGCTCTGGTTTTCCCAGGACTGGCTTAGGCTGTGTGATATCCTGGCAAAATGACCACTTTCCTTCACTCTTGAAGGCTTTATAGTTAGGGCAATAAACTACACAGCATACGTGTGTGTGTGTGTGTGTGTGTGCGTGTGTGTGTGTGTGTGATAACTTGCTTAAATTACGGATCCATTTAGCAGCCTAGAGCCTGCCAATTTTAACCATTTTCCTTGAGGCTTTAGTGATGGCGCCTTCCTACCAGGCCTTGTTTATCCTGTCACTTTTTCTGGGCTCATCTATTTTCCTATACTGGAGGGAATTATTTTGCCCTTTCAACCCTCCCTGGATGGTTGTAGCAGCTTCTTCTTTAGAAAAAAAATTATTATGTTTTATTTTATGTGTTTTGCCTCCATGTATGTAAGTGCACCCATGTCATGCAATGCCCACAAAGGCCAGAGGAGGGTGTCAGATCCCATGGAACTGGAGTTACTGTCAGTTGTTAGCCCCTCTGTGGGTACTGGCAACTGAACCCAGGTCCTATGCAAGAGCAGTCAGTGCTCTTAACCACTGAGCCATATCTCCAGCTCCTGAAGCATCTTCTTAGTGTCATAACTACTCTTCTCCTATCCTATGAGTTAACCAATGGCTCCTGATCATGGCCTCATCCTGTGGAGCAGCCCATTCACTGCAGGCCTTGCTGGTCCAGGAGGCTCTGCATGACCTGGCTCCGCTTCCAAACACTTCATCTCCTGCTTCCCCTCTGGTTCTCTTGTCCTACCCACCCCATATGCTTTTGTCCTCTGTCGCTCTGGTGACAAACAAAGCTTTTCTCCCTCCTGGGGCAGAGACTTGGCACATGCATTTTCCTTGGCTTAGAATGTGCCTGAACTTTGATTATAACTGCTACTCAGTGCTCAATGGCTGTCTTACCCACCAAACTGTAAGCTCCATGATGATGGGGTCTTGTCTGTTTCCCTTCATAGCTGCACTCCTGGTGCCTCCCAAAGGGCTTCCACC